ATACATGTTGGTGATTTGGAATATAATTTGGCTATATAATATATATGTAGAAAACTTGTCTTACAAGTTAAAAATGTATTCTTTAAGTTGGATACATGTCAAAGGTCTTATAGAATGTTACTATATAATTTTAAATTAGATAGTATATATAGAAATAAGAGTGAAACTTTTTTTATTCTTCTCAATGCCTTTCTTGATTTTAGTCTTATTTCAAGAGTCTCTAATCTTTTTGCCTTTAGAAATAGCTATTCTAGTCTTAATATTATACCATCTTTCAATGAATATCTACTCTTTTTGAATACCATTAGAAAGTATTGACATTTTTATTGTTTGTGATTCATGTACTTGATAGTTTGATAAGAATCCTAATAAACTATTCTTATTTTGTTTTAGGAGTGAGTGAATCATTTTTCTTTTTTTTTATTGCGTTATGAAGTTTGCCGACTATCTACCTTTAAACTAACATTCTTTTGACATTGATTTTTTTTCTTTTAAAAGATTGTACTACCATTCTTTGTTGAAATTTTCATCTGATATTAAAGTTTTTTTAATGACCCCTATCTAATTTTACTTGTAGATTTGTAAAATTTTTCTATTATAGATATGGAAGAAAAAATTATATATATAATATTTGATAAAATTGAAAATAAATTTGCAACTATTGTAAATCTTTACAAGCTTATCAATACTTTTAAGGTGGAACTCTCACATATTATCAACATCTACAATAAAGATATTATTTCTATACTTATAGAAGAAATCAATAATGAAGTTTACTTTCTGTACCAAAAAATTGTGAAATTGAGAAAACTAAGAAGATCAACTTTACAATTAAATCTATGAAGTTATGCTATTATAAATATAAAAGAAGGAAGGATTAGTGTGTTAGAGAAGTTTCATGGAAAAAGATCAAAATTTTGAAGATATTTACAATAAGTCAAGTTTAATCTATGGTTGCATCTTTTCTAATATTTCAATAGATTTATATAAGTTGGATTCATATGTGCACTCTTATCTAGAAGTGGTCTCTTTTAATTTGCACCTTTGATAGAAAAAAATTCTTGACTCATATAGGAACTTAATTTATTCTTGGAAGTATTTACACCCACATTTGAAAAAAGAGATTGAGAAGATAACAAAGACAAAACTTATATCTTTATAACAAGAATCACAATTAGCTACTATATATGTTGTTGAACTCTAATACTTTTAGTAAGGTAATTTTATCAAAGATAATATTTTGACTTATAAAATATTTTCTTGTATTTATATTATATTATAGATAATCATTTTTTTTCATAAGTCACCATAATCAACCAAAATGCATTTATTATCTTTTATATCAAGCTTATATAAGTATTCATTAAATATATATATATATATATATATATATATATATATATATATATATATATATATTATATATCCAAATATTTTCAAATTATTTAAATGAGATATTTTACTACACCATAATATCAAAAGATTCATTAAAGCTCTTAATTCCTTTAAAAAGATTTTATTTTATATACATCAAGTCTAGACAATAACATTTGCCAAAACAAATTGAGTAATTTAAATATGTGTAACATACATCTAGTGGATTGTAGCAAATTTCTTTTCTTTTGCTTGCTAACATAATTTTAGTCAAGTATATAGAAGATAGTAAATTGATGTATTATTCCATGTTAACCACAAAAATTATTGAATTCTTTTGATATATATTCTTTATTATTGTCAAAGCATAAAGACTAAATTTTATGATTTTTTTGATTCTTGGCACAAGCTTTATAAGTTTGAAATGTTTGAAAATACCTTAGATTTATGTTTTAAGAAATATATTGCTATAAATCTTAAATAATCATTAATACAAATGAAAAAATAAATAAAGTTTTTAATAGATAGTTTACATACGACCACAAACATTGATGTAGATCAATTCAAATGATTTAGAAGCATGTAGAGTTTTATCTTTACAAAAAGAATTTTTATGTTGTTTTATAGCTAAACTACTTTTATGTTAAAAAATATGTGATATATTTATCAAAATATTTGTATTAAACTTACACATTTCTATTAATGTATGCTGATTGATATGTCCTAAACAATGATGCTATATAATAGTTTTTTTTTGTAGATAATTTACTTATTATAAGTGAATTTGTTTGTTTAAAGTTAAGAGTTTTAACTTCTAATAGGTAGAAATTTCTAACTTGATTAATTCTTATTACAAGTGCTTTTTTAGCTTTAAAATATGTTTTAATATTAAAACAATTATAAAAGAGCTCCATGCTTTTACATTGTATTAAGGCTAAATATAAAGACAACAAAATTCTAGCTAAAATTTGTAGATGTAAAGTTTCTTATAAATTTATAATTTCACTACTTTTAATTTAATTTGCACCATATCTTTGCCAATAGCTTTATGCTCTTTTATCATCTTCTATGTATATATTTAAGGGAAGATTTAAAATTTAATATGATATGAGCCATTCCTTAATTGATATCATATGACTTATTATTTTTATATTCAAATACCAAATAGGTAAATTTATAGGTTCATTGTTATTAATAAAAATAAATAAATGAAGCATAGCTATTTTTTTTTGATTTAAAATTAGTTTCGAATTGAAATAATTTCTTTTTTGTAGTGACTTGTGTTGTAAGATCAATTTATTTATATGTGGACTCTAATCTATTCTTTATTTCTTTAGAAGTTTTAGAAGATTTTATCAAATTGACTTGTTTATAACTGCAATGTAAGAAGATATTTGCTCTTACTTTTGCATCTTTAATTTTCCATTCTTTTTGTACAAAATTATTTGAAAAATCAAGATCAAGTTTTGTTGCATTCACAACAAAAAAAGATCATTTAAAACAAGAATCAAATCCATTTAACACTCCATAAATTGTAATTGGTAGATGATAATTTTTCTACCAAATATGTTTTATGAATTGAATTTGAAGAAGCAATAATTGATTAATTTTTTGTTGGAAAAATAATCAATATATAATATGAATGTTTATTTTTTATTTTAATTATTATAATATAAGATCATATTTGATGCTTTAATACCATGTTAATAGAAAGAAAAAGAAAAAAAAAACATAATAATAATTATATTTTTATTGATACTTATAAAGTGTATATTAAAGAGATTGATGTCAACCTAAATAATAAAGAGATATAAATATGAAAAGACATGATCTATATATCTCAATCTAATGGTTACTTTCTAATACAATCTTGAATTGGTGAAATTTAAGAGCTCATGCCAATATATTGTAATTATTTTAGATTTATTTTATAATTAGCTATTATAAAAGTATATTATAATATCAACATGAAAGCTTGAAAATTATTTTTAAAGAAAAATTATATTATATTAGATATATACAAAGTCTAGTAATAATATAGTTAGTTATCGAATTTTCTTTCTAAAAATATTCATAAAAAAGACTTAATTTTTTATTTATTATTATTATTTTTATCTTATCTCAATATTAATTAGAAATAAATCATCATATTCATAAAAATATAAATCTTTGAGATACATAAGTAAGAATTAAGAAGAATAAGAAAAATTTAAAATAAGAAGCTTTAATAATTTATCATAATTTATCATAATTTATCATTTGAATAGATTTGAAAAAAATATATAATAACATATAAATTAAATAATTATTAATTTATTTATTAAAATAAAATAAATAATACATAAAATACATGATTTAATTATAGTAATGATGCTTTATATTATCTTTGATTATAAATTTTAAGAGTATTAAAAAAATCATAAAAAGAGGTTTAAAAGAATAATAGCAATTTGGATGAACAATAAGAGGGGGGCCATGCAGAAAAAATTAGAATTTGTTCTACTAATATATGACCATTGTAGGAGCTAAGACTATCCATTAGTTACATTAGATTTGAACTTAGATAACTTATCAATCTTTGATTTTAGGAAGCTATTGTCAATCAATTATCACATTAACAAGATTGTCATTGATTCAGAACTATTACATGATTTTAATAAAGTATAGTTACTAATTAGTGTGTTAAAAGAACTTTGGACCTATTTGATATCCTTTTTTAGTGCTAATCCTCATCTAAACTAATTTAGTTTTGACATCTTCATTTTTCCAAATTATAATTATATTATTCAAAGACATTATTTCTTGTTCTACTATATGAAATTTTTAACAAAAAAAATATTTCAATATGATTTATTCTTTGTCTTTAATAGTATTTAGTGTTATTAATTCAACAAAAAAAATCCCCTTAGATACTATTCTTTTAAAAATGTACATGAATTGAGTCATAATTACATTATCAACTAGTAGCACCACTACCTACTAACTTCTATTCTTGAACTTTGTTTAAGATTCTAAAACATTCGAGTCAACTTGTCTCAATTTTTCACAAGTAATAGATGACAAATCCATGGAACTCAAACTATCTATCTAAATCAACTCACAACTCATACCAACTCCTCAAAACTTTGACGCCAAATTACACACGATGCCTCAACATAAAATCGTAAATGACATTAATGTAATGGCTAATCAACTACTCGGCTGCCAATTTCCTTCGAAAGCTCGAGAGGCAGACAAAGGAGGCGAAAAATGCAGGATGAGTGCTCGGAAAGGAAGAAGTTGGGCGACACAGATGCGGAGAGAAAAGGAGAAGACACGTCGCGAAAGCTGCGTCACACGAGCGACGTCAGCGAGCAAAGTGAGTAGGTGCCCGCGACGGACACGGCAGCCCCAACGGAGCAGGAGGGAGCAGCGCCTTCGCAGCGGAGCACAGCGCCGGGGACCAAGCGCACCCACCAGTGTCACCCCTCGCAACACGACATACAACCAAGAACAGCACACCAGGAGTAGGTGAATCGATGGCCCCGCAACACGACACAACCAGGAGCGGGAGCAGCAGGAGTAGGTGAATAGCCCCTTGGCGCCCCGTCTGATGTCAAGGTTGCGGGGAGCGTGATTCGGTGAGTGGGTGGTGGTGGTGGTAGTGGTCGTGTTAGCGGTGTTTTTCTTCTTCAGGGTTGGTGCATGCTGGAGTTTTTGAGGTTGGATTGAGCGGTGGTGAGTAGTGTGGAGAGAAAGTCGCTTTTTTGGGCGTTATTTCTGGTCTGAATTCAGGACTGGTTTGGGTCGGGCGCTTCTCTCCTGCTGTTCTCAGGCGACTGGCGTGATTGCATAGTGTCGTGAACAGTACTTTTCGTCCGTTTCTGCTGAGAGGTATGAATTGCGTTCCGGGTATTTGATCGGTTCAGGGAGAGCAATATTTACTTTGTTGATTCTGGCGAAAGCTGGGCTGGATGGCACTGTGATTGGATTTCAGGATGGATTCAAGAGAATGTAGTCGTAGAAATTGTGTAGTTGAATTGTGTGGCAGTGTAATCAATGTACCAGGACGGTTTGAGGTTATTCGACTGGTTTCTTGAGGTCGGAATGTTGAGAATGAGCTCGTTTCGGTTTGGTTACAGCGTAGATAGTGTTCGAATTGTGTCATAAGCTGTTATTTTCTGAAAGTATTAGGTCGCGTGGCTGGAAAAACAGTCTAAAATAATGGTTGATATTAGTTCAAGAAGTTTCAGGGCGTGTGAGTGAATGTGCACTGTTTCTTGCCTACTTCAAAGTGGTGAGGTTCTTGAAGGCCACATTGCAAGATCATGACTTTACCTTCGGTATGGGCTCTGAAATGCAACGTTAGTTCCCAGAACTTTTGCAGCTGAAAGTTACAACATTGCAAGTGTGATGACAGGGCGCAATCACGGCAGCTGGATTGTGCTCAAAATTTTAAATATAAATTTATCTTTCAGGGTCTGAATCAGACACATATGACGGGGGTGGTTCTAGCAATTGGAGCGGCAAATAGTATTTGCCAGAACCAGCTCGTACTGGGTCATTGGTGTACCCCGTCACGATTCCAGTGGCGGCTTGAAACAAGAAGCCGCGTGTGCAGGCTCTCTTCTTGAGGGAGCTTGTTCGACATGGGCAAAATAGTACCCTTCAATGGTGTACGAGAGGACCTCAGAGGACGCCTTGCCTGCTATAAGGATGACTGGACTGGTGGCTTCAATTCTACGTACAGGTGCTTGTTTGATGATCAATAGGTTAGGGTCAATCAGGGTGTTGCAAAATTCACTTCATTTAAACTCAAATCAATAAGTGGGGTGTTCCACTTCAAGCCTTCGTCTACAATTTCATTCATCGGTAGTTTTGACGTGTTAATTCCTTGGGGCCTGTCAGGATTCTTGCTGCCACAGCATACATATTTTTCGCTTCGGCCTTACCGGTGATTGCCTTTGGAGAGCAGCTCGGCAGGGATACGGGTGAGCGTGTGATTCTTTATGTAGTTATTTATTATTAAACTTTGTTTAGTCTATGACAGTGTTTTACCCAGGGTCTATGTTTTTTCAGGAGAAGGTGTTCTCGTGTCCTAGGCACTACTCCTGTACTGAGAATTTTACTCTGTAACTGTAGAGGGGGTTATTACGGCTGTACAAACCTTATCATCAACAACGATTTGTGGCATAATTCAGGCCATTGTTGGCGGCCAACCACTTCTTATTGTTGGAGTATCGGAGCCAACCTCTTTGGTATACACATTCATGTATGATTTTGCGAAGAACAGGCCTGAAATTGGCGCTCGATTTTTCTTGGGCTGGGCGGCTTGGTACGCTTCTCTGAACTGCTCCCAGATTCTCTCTGCTCTTCTACTCGAGTGTTATAAGCCTGTGCATTTGGTATACCCATTGTTCTTACATCTTAAGTTGCGTTTCCAGGGTCTGTGTATGGTCGGCCTTTATGCTGGCCGCTCTCGCTATCCTTGGAGCATGTAATTTCATCAACAGATTCACCAGGGTTGCTGGGGAGCTTTTTGGGTTGCTTATTGCTGTGCTCTTTGTGCAGCAGGCTGTGAAGGTTTTTGTTCTTCATCTAGTCAAGAGCATCGTTTGATAGTGACTTTTTGTATCAGACTCGTCGTCCTTGTTGGGAAGAGGTCATTGTTATTCGTTTCTTAAATCACATTTTAACGACTTGATCGAGCAAACTTGATTCGTTCGGGACGTTCTTCTTTACTGGTTGTCAGCAATTTTATAATGTGCTGGTTAGTTTTGGTAACGATCATTCAGTTGCGTCTTTTCAGGGAGCGGTGAACGAATTTCGTATTTCCAAGTTCGTGAATGCAACTGAGGAGCAATTCCAGTCTTCGTGGCGCTTTGGCAATGGCATGTTTGGGTTGATCCTTACCTTTGGGCTTCTTTGGACGGCCATAAAAAGTAGGAATGCAAGGTCCTGGAATTTTGGCCCAGGTGAATCATTATTTCCATAACTTCAGCAATTTTTTCATGTCAATCTCTTGCAATGCTAACAGTAAATGTTCGTTCGTTATCTGTTTATAATAATGATTTCTGAGGATATGTTAAGATCACAGCTGTATTCGACAGAAGTTATAGTTTCGGGTTTTTTTGTGTGACCTCCACCAGGCTTCTTCAGAAGATTTATTGCAAATTATGGAGTTCCAATCCTGGTGATTGTATGGAGTGCCGTCTCGTATGCACGAGTAGGATCTGTTCCAGCAGGTATTCCAAGGCGTTTGACCAGCCCAAATCCATGGAAGTCACCAATAGCAACAACGCACTGGGATGTGGTTGCGGTAAGAACAGTTTGATTTTGGTGTATATTCGATCAAGTTTGACTCATGATTCATGAATCCGTGTCGTGTCTTTTACTTCTCTATTGCTGCCGTTCGTGCTTGAACTCCCCTTTTATTATTTCTTCTTTGTAAATTTTTTATGATTTTTTTCTTTTGTAAAACATGCGTCTTGAGGTATTTGCATCCGACTTATAACTGTATGATGCGTCTGTTGAAACGAATGGTTGTATGTAAACTTGTCGCATTTCAGGACATGAACGATATTCCAGGAGTTTATATTGCGGCAGCCATTGTACCGGCCTTGATGATTGTCATTCTCTATTATTTCGATCATTGTGTGTCCGCTCAGCTGGCTCAACAACCCGAGTTTAATTTACGAAAACCATTTTCCTATCATTACGATCTGCTACTCCTAGGGTTCACGGTAAAGTTCTCTCAGGGGTGTCGTGAATACTTACTTTTTTTTACTGGGTAATAAATTTTGAGGTTGATTCGAATGAAGAAGATATACTTTTCTGAGGAACTTAAAAACCTACATGGTTGTTTGTAGATACTGAAGCTTCTCAATCTGGTTGTCAGTTATCAATGTCAATGATCTTTCATGAACTTTTAGGTACTTTTGTGCGGATTGCTGGGTCTGCCACCATCTCATGGAGTTCTTCCTCAATCGCCCATGCATACTCGTGCGCTTGCTTCGTTGAAGAAAGAGGTGAGGCTTCAGTCTGGCGTTTTTTCTCTCCGATTATTCAAGGGCTGTATTAAGTTATTGAAGACCTTATCTGGAAAACAAATTGTAGTACAATAATATTCTACAGCATTTGTATTTTATATTATGTCTATTGCAGTATTTGAGTTTCAGTTGGTAGTTTTAGTGTATGTATATATATATATATATATACACACACACACACAATATGTATGTATTTATGCATGTAGTGATAAATATTTACGCGCACCTTTTTTTCTTCAGCTCGTCCGCAGCAAGCTAATAAAACGAGCAAAAATAAGTCTAGCACATAATCCATCGGGAGAAAAGCTTCAGGATGACTTGCACGATGGATATAGACAAACTGAGACGCCACTTTCATCTCCATGTGCTCCTCGGGTATGTGTTGTACATGTGAATACGCTTCATTGCGAAGAACATTCTAGCAGTAGATTTGTGATTCTCTTCTGTCATGGCAGGCCACGAAAGAGCTTCACATCAACATAACTTCCAGTGATCCTGGGAGCCCCATGAACAAGGTGAACTTTGACCCCGAAAAGGATGTTGATCCCCTTCTTCCTGTCGAAGTAAAAGAGCAACGGCTAAGCAACTTGTTGCAATCGCTGTTGGTTGCCGCATGCATTGGTGCGATGCCTGCGTTGAAGAAGATCCCGTCCTCAGTGTTGTGGGGCTACTTTGCTTACATGGCCATTGAAAGTCTTCCAGGAAACCAGTTCTGGGGAAGAATTTGTCTACTCTTCAGCTCCTCCGCTAAGCGGTATAAGTAAGTGATTCAACAGATGAAAGTTAAAAGTGATAGACAAATAAAATTAAAGTATTAATATGATGTGTTGGGTAGTGTCTCTAGCTCTGATGGGTCCGCCTCTGTGATGATGTCCTGAATACGTTGTTGATGTGTTACTCAGGGCTTTGGAGACTACTCATCCAATGTTTATGCATACGGTGCCTTTCAAAGTGACAGCTACCTTCACGATTTTCCAACTAGTTTATATGATATGCTGCTACGGCATCACATGGATTCCAATCGGTGGAGTTCTGTTTCCAGTCCTGATCATGCTTCTGATCCCTGTACGCCAGTTTGTGCTACCTCGCTTTTTTAAGAGGGAGTACTTGCAGCAGCTCGATTCTGCAGAATACGAAGAGGTGGCACCACTTCCTCAAAGCTTGGCCTTGAAAGTAAGCTCATCCATCCCATCTCCTAAGACTTGCATTGGTGTCATGCACAAGTGGGTGGATAATTAAATTATATTTCACTTGTTGTGTAGGATCTCTACACATTTTAAAGACGTTCATTTATCATTTAAAACATGTGCAGGTACTTTGAGCATCATTTCATTTATTTATTTTTGCGAAGTTACATTGTGTTAGTAGAATTCTCTCCTGAGAGCTTTCATGAATTGGTTCTTGCAGGAAGCTGAAGCCCAAGGCCTTTCTGTGGGATCGGACACATCTGATGACGCGTCCTTGGATCATTTCGCTACTGCGGCTCGTGGAGAAATCAAACACCCTCTCCCACTTCCTCTGCACAATCACTTCGGTATTCCTACCTCATCTACAGAGTTCAATAGTATGCAATTCAGAGAAATTGCAGAAGTTATTGTGGGTTACCACTTGACCATCTTAGTTAGTTGATGGATTCGGCTCACTATTTTGAATGGCGATTCTCTGTGTAAGGAGTATGTGAACGCAGGCTTGCAGCTGATATAATTCTATTGTTGGTTGATTTCAGGTCACTCTACCAATACACACGAAGACCAGTTGTAATAGACGAATGCAGAGTAATATCAGGTGCAAAGTTACATAAGGGTCATTCCATAAGACCCGGAAGGCAACTAAAAATTCTCTTCTGATCTTTTCAGCTACGTCAGTCTAGGATGTTCTTTTTTTATTAAACACAGTATCATATTCACCCTTCAAATTGAACCGAAGGTGAGCATTTGAGTTACAAGCGCAACATGTATAATCGATTATGTGCAAGACATGTTGACGATGAGATTAGGTCTTCGACTCAATGATCTCACACTTAAGCGAGTAATAAAAGGCTGAGATAGCGGAGCGATTGAGGTGAGAAACCATGACTATTGCTGAGCACAATGCCGGCAATGAGGATGATGCAGTTGGGGATGAGCTTATGTTTACAATTTTCTGAATCGGAATTCTTACTGCTTAATTGGTCAAGTTGTCAATTTGACTGATTGATGTATGCCTTTATTTTTTTATTTTTTCACTCCATGATTTATCGTTTTCAAACGTAATATCCTTTACTTGCAGCCGCTCAGTTAATGGTTGGGACAATACATTTTTAGTTGCGTTTTATAGGAGATTTAAACATTTTTTGTTGGAAACACCCAATGAATAGACTTATGACTTGGTCTTAGGGTATACACACATCAATTATCACTCTCACCACAGTTGGTATTGCCCTTGTATTGTGAAGTAATACCACGGGAGGAATTTTTTTTAAAACTAATGTTTATTCAAATGAAGTTTTCAAGCGAGGCTAAAAATCATTAGGTTCGTTCAACTAGGGAGCACGTAGCCTAATATGTAGTGAAATGTATATTTGAATACTCGATTTCAAACGGATGCGCTAACTCAAATGAAAAAAAAAACACAAGGAGTATTTTATATAAAGCAGTTCAAACCAAAGATTTATGGTACAAGATAGTTGTTCATGAAATAAAGCACGTCAAAGTGATATACATGTGTATATAAATTTATATAAAACTGTTTTTTGATGCTCATTAAAAACGATAGACAGATGCTTTAAGTAGCGAAAAAAAAGTATTAAGAAAACATAACTAATAAAAAAAAACAAAAAACAAAAAAATGACAGTATGTAGCTCAAGGAGGTTAATACAGTGCAAGAGCAATGCCACACACGCTCTACTGTAGGTGGCATACCACTATGGTTTTCCAAAAGAATCTTTCCATTCCGTCGTTGCGCACTTCATGCAGTACTTTCACAGTGTTCTCACAGACTCAAAGCCATTATGGCTCCTTATAAGCTACTAGAAACTGCGTTGGGATATTTGAAGCCATCCCTTGCAAACCGTGGGAGTGGGAAGCATATATGTAAGTATATACTCACAAATTCGTACCTTTCTCGAGATCGACCTCAGTATTCACGAGTGCTTTGAAGGTGGTGGCCACAAATAGCAATGGTTGCAAGGATTACTAAATGGGTCCATGCCAACATGCCGAGCTTTCACTAGAACAGCAACCATAGGAGGTGCCACAGTGAGCAGCACACAAAAGTTCATTCGAGACATGGTGCGTCTGCAATGAAACCATCTCGCCAAGGATCAATCACACGGCACACTACTCCAGCTCTTTGCAAAGTTTGGCCTTCTCTGGGTGACCTCATGCTCAAACTCGAATTGTATATGCATTGGACATGACAACGATTCGACGCCAGCGATCCACAGCTACAAAGAGATCATGATCAGATGATAAAAAATGACGCAATGAAGAGGTGATCCTGATACATGCTATCCAAGCATTCATCTGTGTTAAAAGTCGGGGAAGTTGTGGGTGCAGGATGGCTAGCTCCAATGACCAAAAGCAATTAATGGTTCAGAAACAACTAGGCACAGGAGAGCAAGACTATATTCTATACTCAGAGTCTGAAGAGACAAATGGTTGAAGCAATATTGAGTTTGAAGAGCAACACGACCAATCAACTAGCATTATAGCGGTAGTGTAACACTCTTTGCTGAGCAATCGCCATGTTCGTGTCTCGACACTAGTACAAACCTTGAGAGGACAAAACTTGTCCACCGTTGGCCGAACCGGCTTTGCTGCTGGGTAGGTCACAATAAGAGAATCCAGAAGATGCTTCTCGACACATACCTGCCGGGTGAGAAAAGAATATGTTGGTTGGAGTTGATAACGAAACTGTTGTCAAAATGGCCCCCTGTGCAAGTTAGTGAATCATGGCTTAACAGAGCCACATCTTCTCACTTGCAATGGCTTGGTACAGATCATGTAGCTCGATAGATGCAGGAGACGTGGACACAGTTTGAGCATTGAATTCGCTTTCCAAGTCTCAAAGCATCAAAAGGTTATTTCAATTAAATTTTTTATCAAACAAGGTCGTTTTATTCTAAAAAATACCATAAATATCTCAAAAGAAGATGGATACACACACTCTCTATTGTAGAATTTATAGGAGACCCAAGAATATGGAATAAGACTTTAATTGCATTGATAATAATATTTACAATTTTGTATCTATATATATATATATATATATAGTTTGTTTGTTTAAGAATCTAAAGTCACAATTGTCTCTATCACAATTTTTCGATTAGTATACTATACTCATATTATAGAGGTATCCAACACTTCTACTAAGACACTAGTTTTGGCATATTTTCATCTAATCATTGTTTTTGCATCAAATTATTATTTTCTCATGTACTTTGCTATTCATATGTTTGAAGTTTGGAATTTAAAGCTCTTTCTTCCTTGTACAATATCTCCCTATTTTGGAGCTTTCTTCAATTATTCTTAGAGATTGCGGTGTGTAGTAAGAGGCATGCATTTTATAAGTAGCTTGACTAAGGTTGCAATTAGTACTTCAAACTACTGAAGATTTTTTGATTTTTCTTAAGATGTTTGTTACAAGTGCTACATTGGAGTAGCAACAATTGTATTGTATCTCAAATTTGCAGCTATTTTCATATCTATATTTCTTTTGGTTTTTTAGATCTCAAATTTGTACTCCTTCAAAGTTGAATATTAGCTATACATAATTTTTTTATGCTTTCTTGGCTTAAAGAGTTCTTTATTTGATGGATGTGATTTATAGATTATATGTGATATTTACTAGGTTGATTATGTCATATTCTATATGATTATCTATTTCAATATAAAGAGATGATGGTTGTACTCTTCTTAAAATAATTGATTCTGAACAAGCTTCTAAGAAAGAAACATGAAAAACTTGATGTGCCTTCATAAATATAGGTAGTTCCAACAAATAAGCTACTCAATTGATTTAATTTTGAATACAAAATGGCTCTAGTTTTAGACACTCTAACTTATTACAAGGTGTAGAATATGTAAATAAATTTTGTGATAAGTTATTGGTTGGTTATTGATAACCTTGAGAATTAGACTTATGGTTAGGCGGTTTAATTGGTAACAGTAGGTTGTTAGTAGAACAAATGGTTAAGAATTCAAAGGATCATAACCTTTGGAATCTCCTAGTCTACAATCCATCTTTTGATAGGATAAAGAGGTTGAGAAAAGGGAGATCGGGGCTAGACTGTGATAGTCGTAAGCCGGGGTAAGTTTGGTGCTACGTCTTTGTTTTCTTTGCTTTTATTATTTTCTTATGAAGAATTGTGATTGAGAGAAGTATTGTTGAAATTGTGATTAGAATATTGTGGAATATGACTTTGGACTGATCGATTTGGAGAAAATCTGTGACCTTGAAAATTGAGATTATCGAATTGTGTTGTATTAAGTGAAGATATTGAATTCTGTGTGATGAATTGAGAAACTAAATATAATAAATAAACTAGAGATTAATAATTAAATATATATAAACTGCAAAGAAAGTAAGTGGGAGATGAATGGATGAGAATATGGAAGTATTGTTGAATTGATAGTCATAGAATGGATTATGTGTTGAATTAAGACGGAAGTAGTAAGCCATGGTGTTTTGTAGTTTGATAATTGATTTGAGATAGTCAGAGTACAGTCAATTGTGATACTAACAGATCCAATTTATATAACCAGTCTTTTCTCGTGTTTGAATCCACCTCTATTAGTTCAATTGCTTTGGTATATTAAAGCTTGAACACAACGAGAACAACATTTTGGCACCGCTGCCGAGGAAATGATAACAATATGAAATGTTAAAAATTGATTGTATGAGAGATGGAATTATATGTTGAATGAGAACGTGAGAAGAATCAGTTTTAGGGTTACAAATATGTGAGTTATAATTCAAGGCAATATTGATTTTATAAAGAAGAATGAAAGATTATGAGTGATAATTATGAAAGAGAGGATTATTAAAGAATTAATCGACAAGCAAAAGAAAGACAGGAGCGATTACGCATGAAAAATCTCCTACGGAAACGACAAAAAGAAAGTGTAGGTCCAAGTAAAATCAAAGGAAGAAAAATTCAAATTCAAATAGCAAAGAGATTAGTAATAACACCAATGGCCGCGGGAGTGCTAGAAGTACTAATTGCGGTATAAATGGGAGCAATAGGAGACTACACTACAAGTGTGGCACCATTACCTACTTTTAGTGGTTGGCTGAGCTCTGATTCTGATTACCATATATCTCAATTCTTGACAGCCTACGTGACTAATAATGGTAGAATTGAAGACATTTGGTTGAGATGGTTGCCAACAACTTTAAAAGATACAGCTTTTGAATGATATAATCGGCAACTAGTGGGTAGATTTTTCAATTAGGAGGCCTTGATGAATGCCTTCCTAATCTATTTTAGACCAATTGGATTTGAAGATTGACTTAGAGTAAGTTTTATGAATAGCAAGATGTTTGTGTGGAAATCAGTAGAATCCTATTATGGCCGGGTCACAAATATACTTTGTAAATGGTCAAATAATCAAATGCCAATTGTGTTTATATTGTCGATATTAATCAATGGTTTGCATCTACTAGAATTAAAAATGTTTGTAAAAGAGGCTCGACCAGCTACGGTAGAGACACCGTTGGCACGAGCAAAGGTGTGGGAA